AAATAGAACTTGACAATGTTTTATCTTACCAGGTTAAACCCACTGGGATAGTCTCGCTTATCATGTGGACATTTGTAGCATCAAAATAATTTAACTAATCGAAATGCATGTTTCTAAATGTATATACCCATGTGCATTGTCGTCACGATACAGCACTGGGCGACAAGGGCAGAAACGATAATTTCAGCAAGTGGGAAAAAAACACGCTAGGTCAGACATTCAACTCTTCCTGCAGCCAAACCTGCACTTCACACTAACGCAGTGCATATGTGATCGTGCAATTCGATGCTGAAATTTCAGATGAAGCTATATGAATACTGATCACTTGGTATAACTCAGATTTTTCGTATTAAGAAAACATATTTTGGGATTTGGCGTCCTGCCCCTATTATCGGGGTGCAGTGTGCAGTTGACTTCAGCCAAGTGCACTCCACTGCACTGCCTCCTTAAACACATGCTGTGTTGTTCGTCGCATTGTCCTGCCATCATCTCGCTGAGATGTTAACTACCTCGCCTGGTATACAGGGCATGGGTTCGACCCGGACCCTGACGCTTACCGTATTTTTGGAGTTTGCGTGTTCTCCCCGTGGTCACGTGGATTTTTCTCCGGGTCCTCCGGTTTTTCCCTCCAAATTTTAGTCTTATATTGGAGAAATAAACGCGTGAAGATAAATAGGCAAAGTAGTAACCATCTCAGATGTGTTCATGAAACACATTCCTGCGGAGGGAGCTGGTAGGAACGTTGGGTTGCTCGGTCAATGGCCAGGGTCAACGGCGGCGTGGTGTATTTCGCAAATATGCCCGACTGTGAGGGGGGGACACAAGCCGGCGTGAGTATGTTAAACGTTGAGTTTTATAAAGGCACCACGGGGTGACCAGCTCCTCCCCATCCAGCCACACCCTCTACCCAGCCCCACCCCACCCAGCCCCACCCCACCCAGCCCCTCCCCACCCTCCCCTCCCAGCCCCTCCCTCCCCATCCAGCTCCTCCCTCCTCACCCAGCCCCTCCCTGCACGACGGACACAATAATCCCCTGTAGGCTGGTGTAACCAGGAGGTTCCCTACCAGTAATACTTTCATCATCACCAATAGTAATAAACTACGCAGTGATTGATGAATTAACAAAGAAGGAAATTGGGGCAAAATATCAACAAAATATAAGCAATCTATAACACATTTTCTAAACAAAAGGAAACCATCGTTGGAGCTAAACAACTGGAAAACCCAAGAGTGTTGACATGAAGGTAAATTATACAAAGCATACCGGGAGTAAAATGATGAAATAAAGAGGGAAGCGAGGGATTTTTTAAAATCACATTTTAGATATGTATAAAGGAACGTGTTTTCAAGAAGTGCATATCACCTGCCATGCCATATGGAATGTACACATAGACTTTTGACGAAAAACATGAAACGATAGAAAAATACCCAAAGCAAGCATTGGATTGCTGCTTTTCGGGAATTGTCGGAGCGTCCGACTCGCACAAGGGATGTGTTCAAATCCAGGGTAGCGGGCCATCATTATGCAATGGTTCATAACATGCATACGTACCCACTTGTGGGATTTCATCAGTGTTCACCATGTAGATAATGGGTTCCACCATCGTAATGTCTAATTTCCACTATTGGCTAAGAGCCACCTATGGAGACGAGCAACTGTCCGAGACCCCGATACTAAGTTCACTCGAGCACGAAAACCGTGACTTTCTCTGCATCAGCACAGAAATGGAGGAAACCATTTACATCCTGATCGAGAGCCACAGTATGGGCAAGTTAAACGAGCTGAAAAAAACACGGACATGTATATTGCACTGCTGTTCATTGCGTTCCAAATTGCAGCAAAGATATAGCTCATTTGGGATTCTTGAATAAGGTCAAAATGAATATAACAGGACATTGTTTTTCATCGTATGTCACATCGGTCATTATAAAACGAATACAATATACCGTGATATTTGGACGGGTTGAGCATTACAATTGAGCCCTAGAAACCAATTAGTGTAAAACTGTAAATCATTATCTTCTATTACTTCCCACATCATTAAACTCACAACACCATCTGGCTGTTGTCTTTTGCCGATATTTCTAGCCATAACTTCCTTAGTACTAGGATATTTTAAATACTCATATTGTGTTAAATAATGTACCCACTCTTTCATGTACAAGAGGGCATGTGCTCCCAATAAAGTAACATAAATGTTCTACAAGTCCAATTTAATTAAGAATTTGGGAATTTGTTCCATATTGGCGAAGGGGGCCCTTCACTTTGGTTTATAGCCCAGCAGAACATAGAACAACCTGCATTGGACATGCACTTCCTAACACCAAAACGTAGCCGTTGTACCCAGAATGTGGTCAATTCAATGGATGAATATGGATTTAAAGCTTTCGTGACTGCAGGGATTCATCTTCTTGGTTCTTTCGGTAAAGTCACGTAGAAGGGAAGTAATACAATAATAAAAATAAAACATAATAAAACAAAACAACATTATTTTATTACTTCCCTTCTACGTGACTTTACCGAAAGAACCAAGATGGATGAATATGGTCCAATGTTCTTCGCTTCACCACTGCACCAATTTTCAAGTAATTGGCCCAATTTTTTTCAATTACCAAGCACACATTGGTGTACGATTGCCTTAATTACAAGGCCAATGTCAGTGTTCACGAAAGTGGCCCTGTGTGTGTGCAAGTATATGCGCAAATAATATTTGAATAATATGAAGCAAATGAATTTGACCTCTGAGCAGACGAAATCTTGAATTGTCTCTCGACAGAAACTGCTGTGTATTATAAAAGCACTTTACTCGTGAACATATGGTGCCTTCAAATCTAGTCGAGGGTAAGCTAAGCCAATCACTGCTGGAGGGTATATAAAACCGGTAACACTTTGTGAGAATCAAGTGGATTCCTCGTGTCCGGTAAGGACTGGTTCCCCAAAGTGGGAATGTTGAATTTCCACCAGCGAGCCCAGGGCTAGCCGGTTGAGGTCATGGATTTTTTAATCTGTATAAAAATGTGCCTCCTTCAACGGAGATGTTACTTTCTACACATATTAGAACGTATGTATGGAAACAATGTTTAGGATACAATGTATTGTACTCATGCATAACATACAAGAAACCAGCTATGGAGAAACCAAACTATGGTACATAGGTTTTTGGGTTAGGTCGCGTAAATATATCAATGTTGTGTCGTTAAAACCCGCCACCACCCGACACAGCTAACTAGTAAGGGTTGTCACATAATCATAACGTGCCAATTCGTCACTAGTACAGCACACCGGTGTTGCTTTGCCAAGCCACGATACATTTATACATTAACGCGATTTAACCCAAAAACCTCTATTGATATTGGTCGCAAAAGCCTACGTGTTAAACCAACTATGGTAGTTAACAGCAATGTCAATTCACTGGTTGATTTAAAATCTCATGGTCCTATTGGCCACTTTACATTTCGCTTAGTCTTATCTTTAGACTGTACTGTCTTTGCAATTTAAATGCTAAAATACAACTTTTCAGATTCCCCACCTCACTGAATAGGGGCTATGAACTACAGATGTCAGTATATTAATTAAATTTTGAAATGTACAAATAATTTCAACATTTTCATTTTTTTACACTAAAATATCCATGCCCACTAGAAATGGGAAAATGTGTTCAGGCTCGTATGCTGACCATTTAAATGATTGTCCTGCAGCATTGTATATATGTATATGAAGAATAAAAAGGCACTCGTCACGTTTTGAATTTTGCTCAGCCTAGCTTCATGAGCGTGGTTATTTCCACAAACGGCAGCTTAAAACACATTGTCCTGCGGAGGCAGCTGGTAGGAACGTTGGGTTGCTCGGTCAATGGCCAGGGTCAACGGTGGCGTGGTGTATTCCACAAATATGCTCGACTGAGGGCAGGCACAAGCCGGCGTGAGTAGGTTAAAGAAACGTCACATCTCTGTGGGACCAGCCTCTTCGTTGGAACCCCAATGGATTTCCCACAAAACGGTACATACTACCCTTTTAGAAAATATGGGCAGTTGACCACGACGGTGTTTTGCCACAACACCCCTTAAGATTCACATTTCAAACCTAGAATTGTATATCTTAATCTAAGTCCTAATAATGAAGATAACCTGATTAAACAAATGACACAAAAAACACGATACTCTTTCAACATTTATCTTCAAATGATTGTCAATAATCACGTGTGAAAAAGTAGGTGAACCTCGACTCTGTAACTGGCAACACCCTTGAGCAGCAATGACTGCAACTAAGCGCTTCCTGTAACAGTTGGTCAGTCGTTCACATCGGATTTTAGGAATTTTGGCCCAAACCTCCTTACCGAACTGTGACATTTGAGGGTTGCCTTGCATTGACAGCCTGCTTCAGGTCCTAGCACATGTCGATGGGCTTTAGGTCCAGACTTTAACAAGGCCATTGTAAAACCCAGAAATTCTTCTTTTGCAGCCATTCTTCCGTACATCTGCTTGTACGTTTAGGAACAGTCTTGCTGCAAGACCCACTTTCGGCTTCTGCCCACGGATGGCCTGACATTCTCTTCCAGAATCTTCAGATACAATGCAGAAGTCATGGCTGTGTCAATGGTGCAGGCCATCCAGGTCCTGAGGCAGCAAAGCATCCCAAAACCACCACATTCCCACCACCACCACCACGCCTGACAGTTGGGATGAGGTTCTTCTGCTCTAAAGCGTTTGGGATTAAAACAATACCTTTTCACGTGAGATACCGGTTCCAACACCTCATTTTCAAGTATAAGCTAATGGAGGTTTTAGACAATTAGTGACAAAAGGTAAGTTTAAACAAGAACTTGGTTTTATAAGAAATAATGGTTAAATTTGGATGCTTAGTTTAATGAATCAAACAGTGCAGCTGTGGCATGTAACTGGCACTGGCTCGGGTGGACATTCAAACTCACCAGGTACACGCACAAATCAACAGATTGCCAGCCTAATGTGGGGGGACATCACAAGCTGTAAGGTGCAGTAGGTGTCCACGTTGCCTTTATTATTCCACACTGGCCATTCAAATGGATAAACCTGAGGCACATCACAAGAGGTTTAAGCATGCCGCTATAAAGTACAGAATAATTTGGTAACAAAATGCTTATCAATGGTATTTTATTTAAAAAGTGTTTCAGTCTGCTGGTATTATCTGCTGAGTTGCAAAGCAATTGTTGGGCCAGACCAAATTTGTTTTTGGATGATTTATGAGCAGTGTTTCCCTTTTATTGTTATAGCAATCAGTTTACCCAAAATAAGTTAGAAGTTTTACATTGATGTAATTTAACTTAACAGTTATCAGACTGAACTATAAGGTATATGGAAATACTACCTACATTGTTGCAAATTCAAAGTTTATTTTAATTATCCACAGGTCAGAAGCTGGTCACAAAAGCAAACACGATGTCTCAATACTAAAATTACTTATTCAGCATTTAAATAACAACCCTTGCCTGCAAATGAATTTTAAAATCAAACACTGAGCTTTGTTTGTAAAACATAGTACACCTTGCAGATTACAAAGAAAAGTGTGCTTGACCAAATTAAAATGCTGCAATGAAAGTATTACTAGTCCCCTTCTGCAACAAATGAAACCAGGCATTTGATGGTTCAACAAGCTGAACGAGTCATTACAGGAAGGTCATTTTAAAAACCATGCTGGATGTGGCGGTGAGTTTTCCAGAATTTAAGGAAGAGATGGAGGTAGGGCATTTAGAACTATGCAAGACATGAACATGTTTAATTGTTGAAACAAGTAGGCTGTGGGCATTACAATGTTGTCCCCCATATGGTCCACAGATACACAAACCTTTTTGGAAGTATCTCACACAGCTCCCCCCCCCCCCCCCCCCCCCATTGATATGATTTTGTTCACTTTCATCACAATGGCTGATCTGAGCTAAACAAGGAAACAGCATCTGACACGTTATCATTTAACATGTGCATTACAAATGCTCTTAAGTATAACCGAATGTAAATTGCTCTGATGATGACAAGTTAAAATATGACATGCTACCCAGGGAACCACAAATGCCTGGGTAAGCATTTTGTAGGATAAGTCACTGAATTAACCTTATAGAAAGAAAACACAAGTTGATGCAAAACTCTTAAAACTTAATTCTTGAGATAGGGTAAAACTACATTCCGTTTTTAGCATGTATAACGTTGCATAAGAGTACACGCTTGTGTTTAAAATCAGGAAAAAAATTGGACTGAAAAGAAATGAAAGAACAAAAAAAACTAATTTGGTCTGGCCGCATTTGTTTACGGTCATAAAAAAACATTTTTTTTTTCCCGGACTTCAAAAATACAAAGTTGAACGTAGTCCAAATCCGACCATTGAACACGGTGAGGCAAGAGGTTCATTTTACTCTGCTTCTGCGACCTCCTGCTCATCTGCAGCATCTGCCACACCTTTGGCAGCCTGAGGTGAGAACAAAGGGAGAGAAAGAGAAGTGCATCACATGAGGCAGTCCATGAACTTACACTCCTTGAAACCATCAAATCCATCAGGCAAATTAACGAAGACTTTGTCTTGCGGAAGGAAGTCCCGTCAACTTACCTGGTATGGCCAGCTGATGAAGTTTCTATTGTTAATTTAGTTACATTTTTATGGAAGTGTATTGTAGTAACACTTCCTTAAACGGAAAAGTATAAAACGTGTGATGTTTCACGCAATGGCTCTTCTTACTGACAATGGGCTCTGAAAAGAAGGCTCATTCACCCAACACATGGCCCGTTGTATATTGTCTTTTAAGGCCAGTGCTGTAATTTGTTTGTGCACTACTGCCCACGGTACTATCATGTCATTTGTAGTTACTTTGGTCATTACTTTCAAGTCTGATTTTAAACCTGCCCTTAAAGTGTTTTTGGCGTATTTTAATTAACAAAAGTATTTTTCAGGTGCATCACTAATTGCATGACCCAAAATTGGCAAATTTAGCAAAATTAGCTTCACGATTTGCAGGATTAAGAATGTACAATACACATTTCCTGCACTCGAGGGTGGCCCTCTTATGCATGCTTTTCAGCAGTGGGGAGAGGGCAAAAGCACACAAATTAAAGTTTGGAAAAACATGAGAGGGACTTCAAATTCAATAAATGTCTTTATACAACTGCTCTTGTATTTAGGACCTGTTTAAAAAAAAGGAATCCTTAAATGGCCAGCTTTTGGGCTACCTCCAAACACAAGTGACAAAGAAACTTGGCCACATTTCTCCAAGCAGCACTGAATTGAGATCCTTAAAGCAGCTTTTCCAAAAAGGATTAAAATTCTCAAGTTTCATTTTAGGAAACGTTGCTTAGTTTTTGTCCCAATGCTTTCCTGTTGTGCACGTGAAGCCTTGGCATGACATCTGCCCTTGTGGCACGAAGCAACAAAAGACACCGTGTGTTGCTGTATATACAAAACACTAGCTCACACATGGTGTGGGAGTGAGGCGATCGTAGCAAATATGCACAAAGTGGTGTAGGAAGGTTTACATGCAATTAACTTAACTTGCACAATAACACGTGTACAATGGGAATATGACCGAAACCAAGATTGAGATAAAGCAGGCAGCGGCATGAACACCATTCATCGTTACGGGCCTTCCCAATGTGCATTGGTTTTACGAGCCTGGTTTCTTCATTCCTATATTAGCGGTGTGAACATGGTGTTGAATTCCAAAAGCTATCCCATGAAATGCGTCTGTGGCTGACAACACATGACATAAAGTATTATTCATTACCTTCTTTTTCTTCTTCTTTTGGGCCTTTCTGCTGGCAGAACTCTGCAGCAGCGCCTGCAATGCAACATTCAAGAAGATGAGTTTTGTACACTTTGCCATTGTATCAATCCGTTTTGTTAAATTATATATTTTTTACTAGGGGAGGGTCAGTTAAATACCAGAAGGCACAAACCAATTAATGCTAAAATATACGAACCGCACAGAAGTCTCTAGGCAATAACTAAGATAGCCAACTAAGGTAGTCTTACAAATGATCAGAAACACATTAAGCTGATGAGACTACAACATTGGTCTAATTTCCCAAGGGAGTTAATATTATAAAAGAGGGAAAGTCACCACAATAATGAGATGGGCGTAATTAGTCACCGAGAAACTAACGAAGTGTTTCCCCATTAACAGTGAACTTTGTACTGCCCATACACCGAGGCTCAAATGTCAGTGTTACATGCATCTACACACAGAAATACAGGCAAATTGCATGGACCATATGGCTCAAATGTCAGTGTTACATGCATCTACACACAGAAATACATGCAAATTGCATGGACCATATGGCTCAAATGTCAGTGTTACATGCATCTACACACAGAAATAGATGCAAATCGCATGGACCATATGGCTCAAATGCCCAATGGGTGGTGGTCCAAAACCAGTGGCTAAAATTACAAATTCAAATGGCAGAAGTAAATAGAGAGGATGACACAATAATGATTTGTCAAAAATTGGTAATTTTATCAGCGATGGCTGGAGGGGCAGAATGGCCCCATCATATACATTTTCAATCATCAATGAGTTTCACTTTCCATATTGCCCCTAATAAACATATAGGTGACCAAGATAGGTATTGACTTAAAGCTTTCGTGAACGCAGGAATTCATATTCTTTGGGTCTTTCGGCAAAACCACGTAAAGAGAAAAATAATAAAATAGGCTATATTTGTTTCACCTGATGATTGCTTTGTGTTCCAATCGAAGCGTCGTGATATTTTTATTTTTTATAATTTTTCTATCTACGTGGCTTTGCCGAAAGACCCAAAGAATAAGATAGGTAGTATATGTTATATTAAAGGAGAAACATGGTTACATTTTCAAAAGCAAATTTATATTGTGCAATTATATAATTGGTGCATGTCTTGCAATAATTGTCAATCTTCATGTAATGTGTCTATTAGGGCATATTTTTGTTTTATAAGTAATGATTTTATAAGGAAAATAAGCTTGACACATTCTGTAAAAACAATGCTGCTGATATTAGTCTCCCAGCCAGGAGATACTCGGAGAACAGCACCTGACTTGAGCAGCATGTTGTAAGTTCATGGCCTGCTTTGGGGACAACTTTGACCATTATCCCCGTGAGCTACATAAAATAGGTTCTACGCCGTAAGGTGTTTACAATCACGAGAATTTAAATTGACCAAGACCGCTAAAAGAAACTGTATATCCAGAAGTCAAGTCACTGCCACACCTTGAGTTCAGGGTCCTGCACCTCCAGCTCCGACTTGTACAGCTCAGGGTTGTGCAGGTTGGCAGTGATCCTCAGTGGCCCATTGGGCATGAGCAGCACAGTAAACTTGAACTGGGCCACAAACTCCGCTGTAGGAGGAAGGGAAAGAGTGAGTCAACAGATTCAAGTGCAAGAGGTCCAAGGCACACATGAGCATCACGATACACAGAGCAATAATATACAGCATGTTGGACAAAGTTACTCAAATGGCAAGATCGATCTGTGTGTGGCACAAAACTGAGATAGCACAAGTGATACACGATTCCAGTAATTAAGGGTAAGGCCTGCACTGAACAGCACTTTAGACAATAGAATATTTGCCTCTGAAATTTCAACTCCTAGTTCCAGAATGGAATGCTGCGGGTCACAGCTTTCCCTTCACAGTGTAACGTGAAGACTTCCAAAATGAACCGCACATGATGACATTGCCAGTCATGTGGATCTCGCATTGTCAACGGAGGTGAAGGTGTCGTCCATGTGCCTGTGACAGTAGTATGCACCCGCATCGCAGGGTGGCGAGTTAGAATTCTATTTTTTCATTAACAGCTTCACACTCCGTCTATCATAAACAGCGCAGGTAAATATTTCCAAAAGCATGGCTATGCTTTAGCTTCATGTAATACAACAGGTGAATCTTTGTTGTTTATCTTAACCCCTTCCCATATCAAGACAACTGCAAGTTTCAGGGTGGGTCCCGTTCAACACTGAATATCAGAACGTGCAAGCAGTCGGCGTCAATATTATTACAAGCATAGCACCACTGTTTTTAAAAACACTGTACTCACCGCAGAGAACTGTAGCGACACGACCGCACTATGATAGCTGGTGCCAAACTGTGCCACGCGCCCTCCCACATGGCCTTGTGGGAGCCTCGGTCGCAATAAAGCTACGTCATCGAAACGGAACCGGAAGAAAAGCTGACGATGTACTCACACGTACGTCATCGGAATGGGAAAGGCTTAGCAGAGGAAAGTACTCACATTCCTTCTCGTAGAGCACGGGGAAAGGCTGCAGCAGCTCATGCTTCACGCACTCCACCACCCCCATGCGTGCCTTCTTCTCGTCCTCAAATGCCCTGTAAGCGTGTGCGCACACACATCACAAGGTATAAGTGATCACTGTTAAAGTAAACAAATTATTTGGCGATGCTGCTTTGGCACAATATTAACTCGTGTTCGGAGTAGGACATGACAACAGTTTGTAATTAACCAGTCCATACTATTTTATAACATCCTGCATTAGCGGTGGGAAACTTCATGAGGAATGAAGGGGCCCACCGTGAAACAGTAGGTAAGAATCGGAATATTTATTTATACTGGAATCCGTTGAGTTATAAAGCTCTTTTTCACATATGTCGAGTCAGAGTACACACAGCAGACTAACACTAAACAAAATTAAGCAAGCGGCCGCTATTTTATATACACCTCGTCTGTGTGACCCAGGTTAACTCAGGTTTGGAACTTTTGTCAACTGGAAAACACTTTGTAAATGACAGTCAAGCAAATCTTTATGGCACTCCAGTGACATCAGTTTAATCCGTTGCTGAACTGACATTACTACAGTGCTATTAAGGAGTGCCTAAACAAATGTTAATGTCTTCTTTTACAATTCTAACATTCTCTTTTACATTGTCAAAGCTCCGCTCGTCTTTTTTTAATTAACAGAGCTTCCCTTTAATCACAATCGATCAGACACCATGGCTCCACAACGAGGTCGAATGCAAGCAAGAGCCACCGCAAGCCCACCGATCCACATGGGGTTACCGTAGCGTGAAGGGCATGACGTCGAAGCGGGTGGAGATTTCGCTGAGGAAGGCGCGCGAGGCCTTCATCTTCAGGATGTAGTGCTTGTCGGGGTTCCTCTTGAACACAGTCGTACGCTGGCCAGTCTCACGGGCCTGTGGTGGAACACGCCGCCAATGAAGCATTCAAAAAGCACACCTTGTCGAGTGCAAGACGTGGGACGCAAACCAATGTCGACAAAAGTGATATTCTACGCTTTCTTGCAAGGCTGCGTCATTCATTCTATGATTTTATTGACATTTATTTTGCCAGTATACATTGTTAAACCCCCTGTGCCTGTTTAAGCTGGGCATTTTGATACATTGCCTCAAAGAACCCTAGAATGAAATTTTCTAAGGATCTTGAAAAAAAAAATTTTAGGCATTTTTTTCAATCAAAATTGTATTTTCTGGCAACCATTAATTTGGGGGCTGTTTACCTCATTCCACATGGCTATGCTATGTACACAGCGAATCTTGGTTATGATCGATGAGCAACCGATGACATTGACCATAGCGAATGTGATGCAATATTTATGAACAAGCCATCCGAGTGCACTCATCTTTAAGCTGGTTTAGATTATTGCTGTAATGACATCAACACCAAATGTTGTGGTTGTAATATGGCCAGAGTTGGTAGTGTAATGCTTCTCGGTGTCTGAAAGCACCTGTCCTGAAGTGTTGCTAAAATGGATTGAAATTTCAGATTATTTATTTTAGCCAAACCATCTTCTTAATGGGCTGTTATGTAATTGTCCAGTGATATGCCAAGATTCCAAAATATTTAAACCTTATTTCATGTTTTTTTACTTTTAACTTATCTATACAATATCAACTTAAAATATACATTCCATTTGATATGGAAAATAGAAATCATGTCCATTTTGGAAAATTAAAACATTGGAAAAATGACATTAAAATATATCAGTGATGCAACATTAAGACTTTTGTATGCAAATGTATTACATTTTCAGTAATGTAAACCAATAAAGAGACACAGTTAAAAAAATACACGTTTGAAGAAACAATAGTATGTTGATGGCATGAATGATTACGAGGTAATCTAAAGTCTTTTGTTCACAATCATCATGATTTTGCAATGAAGGCAGCCGCATTTTAGTGTTCATAAATGTCATAATCTTAAATTAACAATCTTTGATGGCTGTCAGCCATTCATTTCTAACGATTGAAATTCCAATTGAAAGACTATTTTTTATAAACAAGCGACTGGCCAATTTTATACTGTATTTTGTTTCGGTGTGCATGTATGTGTAATTTGAATTTGAGTATAAAATACGTTTGTGACAAACGGACCTTTATATGCATTATGGTAGCAAGTAACATAACATTACCTTGAGATATATGGGGTCGATAAGTGACTGAGCTAGTTCAGGCTCTACAGATTTCTCTATGACCTAGAGGTCTTACCTTGCCTTCCCCAGTGCTGATCAGGACATCCACAGCATAGACCTCGTGTACTTCAAAGCTAGCCTTTTCATGATCCTTCCTGCAGACGTGAGACGTTTAAGTCAACTAAAATTAGGGAATCATGCTGACTTTTTTTATGCAAAAGTGTTAATGTCTCCTGGCCGATCCACTCTTGACATCCCACAAAGGTAAACACATTTTACTGAAGAATAACGGGGGAGCCTCGGTACAGAGTCAAATTCATGACATACACGAACATCAACAGCAAGGGTTCATATCGCCGTGGTGGTGGTCAGTATTCTGACAGAACCAGTGGACCTCCTACAAAGTGGTCCCGAATTTTGATAACCCTCCCAGAATATGATTGACCAAATCATAATTTAAGCTGGGGCCGACCTTAAAAAACCGTGTAATTGGGAGTCACACATTCTGCCACAGCAATACATAATTTAAACATATTTATTGGGACTGCAGATCTAAGGCTGCTCACTTTTGTTGGTCAGTGGGGTTCTGGATGACTGTCTTCTCCCCATCGATCACGTGCTGCTTCAGCTGGTGGGACAGCATGCCTGCAAAGAATCATACCAAGCAACGTAAATAAAACCCTACAGTAATTTACCCAATATTTGTTTACATTTCACTGAAATATGCATGCTTTTGCTACACATGAAAATACATTTTCCACAAACAAAAGTGGCATTTTCTAAATGCAGCTCTTGGCTTGATAGCCAAATTTGTCAATAAAAAAAATGGTACCGTACATTGCGGGAGTAACTGATAAACTAGCCAGTTTGTAAAAACAAAACATCCGAGACAGATTTGGCACGGTACATAAAATACAGAATCTAATATCTGGTACAAAAGATGTATTAACGAAGCTATCAACACAAGGTGTGTACAGGATTAACTGCACGTGTGGTAAATGTAATGTTGGGCAAACATGACGAATGATCAGCACGAGACTAAAAGAACAGATAAATATTAAATTCTCACAAATACAACTGTTAGCAGTAGCAGAACACGCGTGCCAACAAGGACAGTCAATTGATTTTGTTGACGTTTTGTGCAAAATTAGCTACTACTGGCCAAGCCTAATTAGAGAATCTATCGAAATTGAAAGAAATCAAAATAACTTTAACTGTTCGGATAGCTACCGTCTTAGTGCTGCGTGGAAGCGAATCATCAAATAAGACGTTGTTGAAATGCATGCCTACAAAGGGCAGCATACTTCAATAGGGATTACCGTTGGTTGGGCTATTTTGATAAACACAATAGACAGGAGGACACGTTCAAAGGGCTCGCATATTGCACTTGCATAATATACACGACACCATTTCAACAAACAGCCATGGCAGTAGTAGCATTATGTATGTGATTGGGAAATCAATGTCCATCCAACCTAAGCAGTAGAGCTGGTGAAGCAATGCAGAAATACTCCACATGTGGGTGCACATCACCATGTCTGAAATGAGTCTCACCTTCAATGGGGGTGCATTTAAATTCAGTTGCCATTTTATTCCACATCTGAGTCACCTGAGTGTTCTGAAATTCAAAACAACGTGGAATTGTGACATCTGTGAAGCAGTTTTGAAAACCAGAGGAGCATGAGGCTTTTAAGATGACAAAATAATACAAAACTAATTTAAGTACACAATCATTGTTTATACACTTTATACACTTACTCATGAAAAAAAGCATCCACATCAACATAAACAGACACGGATACCTTTAACATGCTGTACACTATAGAAGTATTAACTATAAATGCCCATCATTAACACAATAACAATACATTTTATCTTTGGCATGTGTAACAATGCAAGGGACATTTAATCATCTATTTTGAATATTTGCAAAAATTGGCCAACGCTGTTGCTTGGGATATACTGGTGCAGTTTAATGTTAATCCTGGATTCACATAACCGTTCCAGTCCGATAACTGGGCAATTGCTGCCACACAAAGCTGTTTTGCTCACCACAAGTATAATTTAGTCACTCTGTGAAGCGTCATATAGTTAGGGCGTGATTTAGATCGCTTTGCTGAAAGACTAATCAGTAATAATGACATTGCTGTCATAGCTTGGTGCACTATCCCGCTTCCAAGCATTAATCACAAAAGTATGAACTTGTGTCATTGCCTTGTGCTTCTTCCAGGAAGGCCGAAATACACTGGGTACCAATAATAAATGCCGCTTTGAACGGTGAAATTTCACGAATTATTGTTTAACTATGGAATAACTGATACTTGTGGAAGAGGGCAAACAGACGGCAAAGGATTTCTATACAACACAAAACGGCCCAACCGAGATGCCCTGGCTTTGGTTCAGGTACCTCTGTTCCAGCCTTGACGAGCCGCAATGCCGCCTCCGAACACAGGAACGCCGCCTTGACCACGTCCGCTTTCCTGTCCGAGGCTGGATTTTCCTGTTCCCAACAGTAAAATGCATCTTCAGCACATTTAGCAAGTCACGGTGCCTCTCTCCAAACTCAACGAGCATTCGGTGGGGTGGTGCTCATCCCCATTTGAGTTCTCAGTCAGTGGTTGAAATGCCTTATTCACCTCGTAAGGAACCACCTCTTCCAAAAGATAACCCACTTACCTTCCCACAAATTGGTCCTCATTTTGGTGACCGTAAAGGCGTGATGATTATTCCTAATAAAACGTTTATTATCATTATGTGACTAAGTATAACTTTACTACATTGTTCTGTAGAAGTTCAAAAGAATCACGAGAGTAAATAATTGTTTTGCAAAAATACGTGTGGTTGTAATGTGGATCTCGTTATTTATATTAATTAAATATATCAATTAACTACATTGAAAGAAAACTTTATAACTACATTATAACTTTTAAAAAGCATGCCCTATTTCTTGGCTACATTACCAGGCAAATTTGAGAACTTAACCGTCGATTGTGTGTAAAATGTTGAAACGGCTAGGGCTCTTGTATTAATATTAACCAGGAATTGCATTTTTTGGCCACGTTACCTTGGAAACACCAAGGATGAAAGTATGCGCAGCCGTGGCGACAAACCCATCCACATGAACTCCCAGGTCACTGAAATAAAGTGAAGCACATTACCAAATTTAAGAAAGCATGGTTTACATGAAATGTTTATATATCCTAACACAAAATGTTGTTGCTATTAAATGTGTATTTTATTTCATGGGACGTTAACAGTAAACATTTTATGTGTTCCATTATTAAATGAAATGTTGAAAAAAATTGATTTCGTTTGTTCTTGGTACATGTACATGGCATAGAATAAGAAACATTTTTGCAATATAAAAATGTTTAACTTGGGAAGGAAACGTGTTACATTTAATCGATTTTCTGAAATATTTTAGCCAGATAAACACATTAACACCTAGATATTGTTAAAAAAGGTAGGCCCTGAAGGCACAGCAAAGATTAGGCAACCATAACTAAAGTAATACGGTTATAACATAAACCCCATAATTTAAAACCTTTAAAACATAATTAATACAATACTAATGCGGCTGGGTGGGAATCGTGGTTTTATAAAGTAGATTTTCCCAGTGTGATCATCAATGACTGCACAAAAACAGTCACATTAATTTTGGTTTAGCACTTAAAATTGGCTAAATGCCAAATTGGAAATAAAACAAAAAAGGTGTTCAACTCTCAGTGCTCCAGTTAATTTGTTTTAATTTTAAAGGAGACTTGAAAAAACATCAATGGTGGTTGATGTATCTGCTTCCGCAGGCCACTGTCTGACAAAAGGGGATTGCATTGTTCTGAGTAAATACTTCTTAACATAACATTCCCTTTTGTACAAGTTTGTTCCATTTGCATGCATGTAACATCAGCTTATCATTCGAACACACATTTAATGTTAATAAACCATAAAAATCTTGATTTGAAGCTTTCGTGATTGCAGGAATCCACTCTTTGGTTCTTTCGGTAAAGTCACGTAGGTAGAAATAAAACAGAACACCTTGTGTTGCGAAGGAAACGTCGCGATTTGTTTTATTTTATTTCTACCTACGTGACTTTACCGATAGAACCAGAGTATGGAAACGATACAAAAATTCTTACACAATTAATGCATCGTGAGTTTCGTAAAACATTTAATTTATATTTGATACATCATGTAAAATGGTTGTATAAGATGACTAAAGTTAGAAAAATTATTTAAGTTTACATCTGCATTGGAAGCTTATCTGAGCAGGCTGCCTGTCTCAATACAACTCCCTGGTTGAACACGGACATTAAAACTCTTTAAAGATTACGACAAACCACATTACACATCCTCACATTGCTATGTTAAGCTCACAACTTGATTAACATCGCAACTCTTTATTTCCTGCTCTTTGAAGGGCTCTTGGGCACAACACCAAAATTACGATTACATGCACGAAGCACATTGCTCGAGGTAGCGCCTATTATGCAGCGTACATTTTGACCAGATCCCCATTCTGCATGGTGCAGTCGGGATCGCTCTTGAGTGGAGAGAAGTGGCAGGTGCAGTTGTTCACAGAGATGCAGGTCGGGAAGGCAATGCCTAAACAACAAAGTTCATGTTCCATTAGGCTCATGCACGAATCAAACCACATCTGCAAAATTATCTGCCGACAGGTAAACCCTACACGGCAGCAGTGCCGGGTGGTGCGTGCAAAGGTGAATTAATGCTATGGTTATAGTCAATCGCATGTGGCATGGTGAGGAAAGAGAAATCAAGTTTAAAATTTGTTACATTGGCTAATGCATTGATCTTAAACAAATCAAGTTGAATGCTCTCAAAAGTTGTAATGATGTTATCTATGGAAACAGTGCATTATTTAAACACGTTAATGCTTCATCACCCACCTGTCAAAACTATTGGTGAGAAATCACGCAGCCCTGTTTTTATTAATTTGTAGGCATTAAAGCATTGAGTGAGAGTGCAATTAAAAATATTGAACTGCAAAAGAAACGTGCTCACCCAGACATGTGAAATACAATATTAAAACCCAATGACACCATATTGATTTGCACATATTTACCTCCAAAGGCCTACCCCGTTCATAAAAAATAACAAGGTAGGAATTTTCAAAAGATTCGTGTTATAATGGTTCTGCAAAGGTATGGTGGGTTTTCATGCCATGTACCATACATGTTGGCACGGTTGAGAGTGAAGTTATACGTGCACCACCTATTTCCTGAAAAATGCTGAACACTTCCATACGACTGGAAGAAGTTAAGAGTCATCCCGAAAAAGAGCATGACATAAATGATCATGGTAATTATTTTAACTACAATCACAGAGTAATGTTGACTGTAGCAAAAACAAAATCAGGCTGGTTCATGTTTGCTCTATTCACTTAACTTTAATCTACAAGGTTAAGAATAATTAAAACCCCACTATAATTAACGCAGCTTTCATTTTCCTAACTGTATTAAGTAACCTAAATCACCTGACATTAGTGCTATATAACAAGTTAAATATCTACAAAGAAATCCCATCTATTCCAAACACATGTAGCTCTTTCAAATAACACGAGAGAAGAGAGTGGCTACATGGGGTCTAAAGTGGAAATATTGCAAACCAATGAAATAAAATCAATAAACTGCAAGCTGTACTGTAAAGAATTGCAAAGTTTTAGCCCCAGAATTAAAGGAAACTTTTCTTACACCTCAGTATTCCCCCCGAAATAAAATCACATTTAAGCCAACTTATATATTTAAAAAAAATCTAATAGCAAAGTCACGAGAGCATATCATAGTTGACATTATTGTTTGCATAATTTGACTGGGAAAAACTTTATCATGTGGCAGAAAAAATGGCATGTCAGTATGCGCATGGGTCAAATGAGGTCTCGTGAAAAGTGTTTCTAGCTCCTAAACAGTTTCTTCTTAGAGCCAAATGCCTTTACAATTGCATAGACATTGTTGAAATAATTGAGAATAGACTCAAAAAAATGCAGGCATTAAAAACCACCATACTGGGTAAGGAACACAAGGAGTGCATATGGTCGAGAGTTGAATGTATTTGAATGGCGTGTTCCATGTGCATACCTTTCTTTATTTCTTTTTCCTTCTTAAACACTTTATTCGTCTCTTCCACAATCAGGTTGTCTCCCTTTTCGCACAAACTCCTCACCGACTCCCCACCCTTGGCAGCTTCCACCAGCTGCTTCATGATTTCTGAAAAAAGCAAAGAGATAGAACAATGCCACACACCGAAGAGGAAGTATTGTCAATAAGCACTACAAAATGCTTATATATTTTTATTTTAATAACCAATATGATGACTCAGCCAATTATCCCACATTGGTGAATAAAACGACACCAAATTGTCAAACGTGAACAATGGGGCTCCCAGAATGGAAAAGTGCAATTTCTCCCATCAATTTGAGTGTTCACTGAATATCTGTCAAAAAACTCAACATGAAAACTACATTTTCGTTGAAATATTTTTTAGTGATGTGTTAATGCTGACCTGACCATAAAAACTCACCACCACAAAATGGTTTGTTGGGTGGCAGCCCAGGAATTGAGCCACACTTCAAGTGCTATGGTTCCATGGCTCTTGACTTACTTAGCCATTAGATCCACCCAACCACATTGATCCATTAGTTTAATAACCATATAAAAAATTATAAACACACTGTTTTGATGGCCATTTCCTCCCTATATCCAACTACATGTTGGAAAAAATACCTTCAGCAGTAATGCCAGTGACTCAAAACTTCATCAGGCCATTATAGTTATTTTGGGACCTTGTGACAAAGCATCAATTTGACCAGACTACTGAATATTTTGTTGCATAAATTGCACACTTTATGACCTGTACGATAGTTTATCTCATCACTCGAAAAGATTATTATAGAAACATGGCATTCTGTATTAAATCCAATAAAAATTTTCATTGACAATTGAATACCAAAGGCAATGAACTATGTTGAAATGAATGTTGTTTAATGGTAGTCCAATTGGAATTTGGAGCATGACATGCACATATCCATGGCAAATTAGGTCATGAATTATTTAATGTACACTTTTCAGCAGTTGGCATTGAGCTTTATCAGTCCCACACAGATATTACCCATCAGCAGTGGGAATAGATCCATCAACTGTACTTTCAGTTGAGACCACAACCTATGCAAATCACCAGCATCAATGTAGACAGCTGCACATGTATTCATGTGGGCTCAATTACGTGAATGTGACTTTCCTTCTGAGAACTTCTCACACTCACAATGTTAAAAAGGAATATATATACATGTTGCCAATTATTCAAAATAGGTGCACAGTTGGGTATAACACATTTGAGTTCCTCCAAAGTCGACACACATTCCTTGTTCATGAAATTGATAATTGACCAAAGTCCACGTATATTATACATGTGTAGTGAGTTCAACCGAGTCGCAGACGTACTCTTTGGAGGCAACACATTTATTAACACCAACACCAAAGGGTAACTGCCCCTTAACAAGATAACAACCTATGGTGGTGGACCACCAGACTAACTAGACTAATTACACCGGGAGTAGCTACAATGGACCGGACCACAGCTCGGGTCCAGGTCCACATGTTGGAGAGTCTAGGACTTATAACGTAGATATCTTCTGGATGAATAACTGCCACCGGTCCTTCTCGGGGACCCGGCTTCTATTCTCTGCAGGGTGGTTGGCTCCGCCCTTGGCCACGACCACCTTCGAGAATCCTCGAGCACCCCAAGCCCCCACCTGGGGGGCCCTGTCTATACTTTACCGGTCACGTGTCCTTCAGGGTCAACCAGAGTGCCATGGCCCTGAGTAACCTCATTCCCATGGCCGGCACTCTCACACCCTATCCTGTAGGGGCCGGCACTGCACGCAGAGCGTGGTGCCATCCAGCACTGGCAGTCAGCGCTCACCGAGCCCCTCTTGGGCCAGTACTGCACCCACATATACGTGGTGTCCGCGATGTTAATACATCGCACGCCGTGCCTCTCTAGGGTCGGCATTACAGTGACATCCACGATGTCACTACACATGCATTATAAGTTTAGTCTCAACAGAATTAAATTAGTTCACATAGCTATGAGTACCGGTACACATTTGTAGTTTTCACAGCAATAATCTAAGGTAAAACAATTTACGTAATTTTGCGTTTGGAAAAACAGACTATTCAATTATAGGATAAGTGAGCAAAGCTTAAAGCCCACTTTGTAATAATCTAGTACAGTAGCAGCATCACAGGGTGTAATGATATGGCATACTGGGCTGTTACCAGCTTTCATTCCTATTGTGGGATAGTACCGATTCCTTTGGATAGTGACTCAAGTGGCGTGTAGCCATATTTACACCTAAAAGCATAACCTCACCCAGTCAAACTTGAGTTTCTAGTATATAGACACACATGCAATGTAAAATCGTGTGATATTCTGGGTTTCAGTAGTGCCTCCAGCTGACATAACAGCTAATAAGTATACGAATTAAGAAACAAATACAGCCATGTCATACCATTTCAATAGATGCAATTAAAGTAATATTGTACACGCGATCTAACCCAAAAACCTTTATTATGAATATTGGTCGCGAAAGCCCGTGTGTTAAATTGTACACAACTTTAACAGCAACAAATATGAAAGTTTTTTGGGGTTAGGTGGAGTAAAATAATGTCAAACCCTACACGTAAGTTAATAAACATCGCATCGCACGTTTTTTGTCACCGTTGATGATCTTGTCAGCAGGATCATCAACAGTAACGCCTTGCACTTAAAACAACTCATTAACTTAAAAGTGTCAAGATTGCTGGCTCGCTCTTCAGAAAACAGGCCTCTGAGCCACATTGCAAGAACGAAGATAGTCTACACGGTATTTTCTATCGGAGAAATGTCACTGCGAGCCATGGGTAAATTAACACCTGTCCATTATCCGGCCGATTATAATCTGCGACTGCACACCACAGGGCACAGCCCCAACTTTCAAGGTCAACATGTGACCCACAACCTACATAGCCATACTGCATCGAGTACTACAGAAGAAACTCAATTACTTAAAACCAGGTGAGAGGTGGATGAGCGATGAAATAAATGATCTTGCTCTGGCTACTACTAAACCCAATTGGCACACACCCTAAGATTGGACTCAGAACCTGACGCTGGACTACACCCCCCATCCTCCGATAATTTGGGCAAGGAATTAAAAAAACAATCCGTACAAGCATCTACTGTAGAACTCATAACGACCACGATCCATCATCATTCGCTGGAGGCGACCATCGTCAACCACCGAATTTCTGAAACCTCCGAGACGTGGAGCGAATCATACTCGGCACGACTCTAAAACATTCGTAGTTGCAAAAATCGTAAATTTGCAACACAATTCTAGTCGCGCTAACAATTGTTGCTACTTGGTAATGGCGTGTCTGTAACCAGAAGTTCTAAGGGCTTAACATGGTTTAACAGAAGCAGTATTTCAATTGTTAGAGGTTAAACACGTGTAGTGGTTTCTCAGTGGGATCGTAATGGTTAAAGGAGCAGTGTTGAGTGGCGAAAGGATACAGTCCGTGTTCAAATGTGCATCGACAATAATTTTATGCGGGGACAGTACAGTATCCCAATTGTTAATAAGTAAAAACATATTAGTGGACGATTAAAATATATACCCGTGATGACTCAACTGAGGATATACTCAATTGGGACCACAAATATCAATTATTGACCCCTACTGCAGACTACGCAATTACCTGAGTCATTGTTGCAAATGAGAACTAACTACCCTGGTATCTGGAGTTCTCATTTGCTTCAACACAATTACATTGCGAGCTAAAATTTCAAAAAAGCGCAGTGTCTCTCGGTAAAGATACAATAAATAAAATTAAGACTCAGTGGCTTGCTGTGGCAAAATTACTGAATGGTTAAATATAGAGGTGTTGATTGGTTATTAAATACAGTAGTAGCGGCGACTGTCAGTGAGTACGCATGAAGTTGAATTTCAATGGCAAGAGGGAGGCTGTAATCGGTATGGGGAGTGTTTCAGTGGCTAAACAAAAGGGCTTAGCGAATCGGATGCCAAGTCAACGGAACAGTGAATGTAAATGGTTAAAAACGACCGGCTCGATGCCGAAGCGTCTCTGTGTGCATGGAGAGGAAGCGGGAGTGACTACTCGATGGTTAAATAAAGGACCCTGAGGGGCGAATCCGCGCTGCCTTAACGAGACACGCGGCCTAGCAGCAGCAGCTATGAGCCAGGGCCACGTTTATTTAGCCAAACTGCAGCTATCCCATATTGTTGCTAAACCACTCAACCTCGTTCACCAGCGCTTCAATCACTCTTCATTCTCTGCTCGCGACCACAACCAACGTCGCGGCTACCGACACGACCGCGGCAAAGCGAAACCTCTCGCTCGCCTATCGACTGCAGACCGCGTGTGCGGCCTTCGCAATCACCACCACCAGGCCCCCACCGCCCCCACCGCCCGCCCGCCTGCACACACGACGCAGGCGAGCGCCGCCACCGCCGCCGCCGTCACCCATCGCTCAACTGTTCACGATGTCCCCTGCCATCTTGTACTTGGTGACCACGAGGTCCTCGGCGATCGTCTGCTCCTGCCCATCGTCGTCCGCCATCGTCGCAGTCTCGCCACTGCCACTGCTGCTGCCACCACCACCAACAACCAACAACAACCACGTGCTCGTCCCACACTGCCTTGCGCGTGCGCGCCCCTGCCGGAAGTGCCCCAACCCCGTTTCTTTTCGCGCCAAAACGCTGTAGCCCCGCCTCCGCCCATCACCCCCCCCCACAAGCCGGAAGTTGCATAAATTATGTTAATGAGCGGGTCTGTGCCACACGATGTCAGTCAGTGGTCGTCCATCAAAAGGCAGTCTTTCACGAAGTGTTTGTGAGTTCTTTTGAACTCCATTCTAATATCTTCTTGGTTCTTTCGGTAAAGTCACGTAGAAGGGAAGTAATAAAATAATAAAAATAAAACATAATTATGTTTATGTTTTATTTTTATTATTTTATTACTTACCTTATACGTGACTTTACCGAAAGAACCAAGAAGATGAATCCCTGCAGTCACGAAAGCTTTAAATCGAAAAAATCCATTCAAATATCCAGGCTTCATCGGGGTTTGAACTCGCATCGTTTAGGGTGAAGCGCATGGGTCCAGCACCACTGATGAGTTATCACGAGCACTGTTCACTCCCCTATTAAGTCTCGCACAGCGACCTACAACAACTATTTGTTTCATTCATGGGGACTCCCGTTTCACTTGCCCTATTTTGTATTGCAAGTGGCAATAAAACACACCTTGCATCCCATTTCATTTCAGCCAATCTCGTGCACTTTAAACCGATAAAGACGAGGTCTCGATTTCGTTTTTTTAGCATTTGTGATTGTCGCCTTTGTTGGATAGATTTCAGTTGGTCATTAAAAAAACCCATCCGTCTTGCACTTCAAATCCACGTGCAGTTTTGCTTCTGCAATAATATATAGTACAGCACCGTATTCACAAGGGGACGTCTTGGTCTGTGTGGCCCAGCCCGGCCACAACATTGCCCTGCAATGCTGATCCGCGTTCTTGCAGTCTGGTCCTCAATATGCCCCACAGCCTGCACCTGCCCTGCACTTACAGGATCAGAATATCCCGGACAAATCCGATGAGCTAACGAAGCTCTTTCTCACATGTCCAGCCAGTATATCACAGATGCGCACATTATCATGACAGCCAGCGGTGTAGTGTGCTTGGCATGGGCCCTATTGCAAGATGCAATTGAGCTCCCACCAACTCCATCCTGGACCCCTTTTCGTATCCCGCGTGCCCTCGTGCACCGCCTTGCACACGACATCGAAGACACAGAAAAATCCTCACTTGGAATTGCAATGCAATATTTTGGGCCATTGCTATTGCTATTTCGTTGTACAGCCTGTCAAGAAGTCAATCAATTGCAATTTCACTCGGAAGGCCAATGGACCAAGCCAACCTGCTTTAGTTATTCACTGGCAAGTGATGCTTGAATGAATAACGAGAAATTTACAAACGTGCGGGCAGATGTGTACTCAACCAGCCGGTCTTGTGTTTTTTTGTTGTTGCAGACAACGCTGAAAAACAAATTATCAAGTCGTGTTATGAGCAGCCAGGTTGAAAACAGTCTTCGCGACAAGCAAAATAAAGCAGTGGCCACGTGTTGTGATGGAAATGTTCGTAATAAAGTCACACTGCTATTGAAATTTCTGGCTGAGTGCAGTTGTGCAACTATCCAAATAGAATGTGCGTGTTTTTTTTTAAACGAGTTTATGTTCACTGGATGCAGTCTTGTTGCAGCTGTTTCACACATCACTGTCGCTACGAATGAGATCAGTGTGCTGACTCTCAAGCAATGTGGCTTGTGCCACAGCTGACGGAGCAAACGCAAGGAGTTGAAAGACAGTACATACAACATGTTTGATCCACACAGGAAAGTAGCAACAACATTAAACTGGTCTTCCTATATCTGTCCCTCCACATACAAAAAACAAAAGACATTTACACATCTCATCTGCCACAAGGCTTTCTGGAAGTAATATGTTTCGGTTGCAGAGAAAATGGTTTGTTGGCAGACAATACAGTGGAGTTCAAAGCTTGGCGTCTTGAGCCATGGATGTGTTTACCAGTGAGCTGCAAGGAGCAAAATCCAGTTCGAAATTATGTTGAAGCAATATCGACTAATTAACTTGTAATCTAATACATGCTCTTGTCAGTGGATTAAATACAGACGAGAATAATTACATCTTAGGGCACAAATAATTTGCCCAAGTCGTGCTGGAAGAGCTACCATAATTATTTCCTTGGGGATGTAATTTTTGTGCAAAAAGGAATACAGTGGAGGCCTGAAATTGAATTTGAAGAATGATTCAGTTCTGGACATTGGAACTTGGTAATGAAATGCAAGGGTTGCATTGGCCTCACATGTGTTCGTTTCCTTCTAGCAAAGCTGACATAGAACCAAAATGTGTGTGTGAGTTTAAAGAGTGCCTATTAGGATATAATTTGGTAATTGGAATGAAGAAGAAAATCACACCGTTCATCATGCACCATCATCATCCCCATTAGCAACCCGCTGGAATATATAGGTGTTGGAGTTACATAAGTGAGAAAGTAGCTAGGTGATGGCTCTCTAAGTGGGATAATACCCTGATCAGAGTGCCATGTCAATAATGAGCCATCACCATTAGCCACTGGATTCAAAACCCAGGTCAGCCATCCACGTTTTGAACCGGGATTTAAAGTTTAGTGCTTTGTTATGGTCTGATACGTGGAAAAAATAATATCTAGAAATCTAGGCAGTGGCGGCTCCTGCAAAATCTCTCAGGGGGGGCAAATGTCTGGATGATTGATAAGGATAAGGTCCACCCATGCAATGAATAAATTAACAGCTTAAGCATGTAAAGGCAACTTCACTTCTTTAATATTAATGAAAAATAAAGTGACTCTTACAATACATCTTGTTTGTTTATATACTCACTATTAAAACAAACCACTCAAGTTAATTTTATTAAAGATTCCACTAGGTAGCGATAAATTATATTGTTGGATGAAACGTGCTTACGTATGATGACGTAAGCACGTATGATGACGTAAGCACGTTAGGGCGAGCCCTCCCGGAAGCCATAGAGAATGCATTGGAGCACCTGCCGTTCGAAAAAAAACATCTTTGAATGTAAGTCTATGGGGCCACTCGGGGCGATTCTCAGCCGGAGTGAAATCGCCCCAAAAGAGGCGGTACTCCACAGAACGTGACATGACGCTGATTGGACTATATCCAGAGGCTGACAGTGACGGCTAGTGTGACTCTGTGGTTGAATGACATTGGTGGTGCGTCGCCCAATCGCCCTAATGAAGAAACCGCCCCTGAATCTAGGATATGCATTTCGTATCTCCAACATTAAAAACAAAAATGTATTGTGCCTTAGGGATAAATACCATTTTGTGAATAATATATTTTCCATCCATGACTCACAGATGATGTTCTTTAAGTGTAATAGGTGCTCACTAACAGCACTTTTCCCGACGGCCGATGTAGGCTACGGCGGGATACTTCGTCTTTGTATATGCCTGTGTATTGCCAGCAGGAAATGCTCGTCACTCGACATTGTCGGGCAGTAGCTGAAACACACGGGTAACAGATTGCTTGTGAGACCACGACGGGGGTCAGAGGAACAAGTCAACGTCTGCCTGCTCAAACGAACAATGGATGGTGCTCATATCCATTGGCAGCCTTGAGACAGTGGTGGAAATTTCACATTCCTCTGGTGGAGGCCATTCGCTCCTATATGATGGCTGTTGGTGACTCCACAAAATGTGGTGCTCATTACTGACATGGAGATAATGGGCTGTCAGCGACAGACTGGGATTACAACCTACAACCTCAATTGCTTTAAGCTTTTCAAAGTTTTTACATAAGTGTTTTTCAAGGCTCATATTGTTCCTATAATGTAAAATTTTGGATCAGTGAAAACCCACACAATATGCTAGAATATGCAATTTGTGCTATGATGTTTACAGAGTAAAAAGTTTGGCGTGATATTTTAATTCGGACTGGGCCCCTGTTAATAAACCTACACTGGCTTGCGTGGTGAAATATGGTAAAATAACTTTCATGACTGACACAGCATGGGGAAGCCTTCGACCAGCAGTGGATCGATAAAAAGCTATACATTATTACTATTTTTATGCACATACAGTACGTGACTTTACAGTCATCAATATAGCAATTGCTTCATGTTCATGTGAGCTTTGTGCTCAACTCAACATCATAACAATCCACATCAGAGTGTAATTGAATAGAGCCCATATGGATGATTAGGACTCAGCACGGTTTGTACGCAAGCAGTGTAACACTTAGGCTCCTGCATGTACGCATACACGTTCAATACTCTCTTGTCTGTGCTGGCTGAATCAAGTGTAGTAGTCACTTCAGATACACTAATAGTAGGAGGCACACACGTTTATTTTACACTTCCACAGTACAGCGGATAACTACAATCGGGTCAGGACAGCCGGCACACTGCCTGACCCACAACGCCGAGGAGGTGAGACGGGGACAAAGACTTGCATAGATGACGGGTTCCATTCCAAACGACAGCCCTGACCCAGCACCGGGGCCTCCCTTTATCCTCCCCAGCGAGGCCTGGCTCCGCCCTCGGCCACACCCCCTTCTGGACACTACGAGAAGGTTCTGGGCTCAGCCCCACGTGTCCCCTCTGTCACCTTTGCCCTACATCCCTTACCCCAGCCTATCACGTGCGCTGCTGGCAGACCGGCTGCTGTGTCCTCAGAACCCCCCTCTCTGCCAGCAACCGGCGCTACGCACTCCAGTGGCACACTTCCCCTGCCCTGCTGGTAGACCGGGCTACTGCACCCACAATCCCGCTCTCTACCAGTAACCAGCGCTACATGCCCTAGTGACCCATTCTATGTCACTACACAATTTTGGAGCATGGATAACAAGCGAATGCTTCATGCACAGTTGGGACTGAGAGGCCTCAACGTGATGCTTGTTATGTACAGGTTTGTAGTTTGAAATTAAAAATGGAACCTACCTGGAAGAAGTCATCCAGCGTTGTGTGCATGCCGATACCAAGGTCCACTGGCATACGAAGACAAATGTGCAGTGACCAAACTGAACATACCCTCTACAGTTCGGAAGTGCTACACTTGCCACTAAATAGCCCA